ACAATGATGCCTTTTTTTTCCCCCCTTGGGCTTTCTCTGTTCGGTAGTAGTTATGTGTTCCTGGTCTCATTTGAGTCGGCAATTGACTTGGCTTTTGTACAATGGCAGTGATTATGTTAGAGCAGCCTAAAATTTTTCTAGCATTGGTTTCACATCAATAGCACCATTCCCAGTATCGGCACTTCGAATTTCCCTTTTCCCTATATGTTTCTTATGGCTCTGCTTTTCATCTAAAGATCAGAATATATTTCTCGAGTGTTTGTTTGACTATTTCATCGCATTTAAGTTGCAAAATGAAAACCTGCTTAGTGTTTTCATCTCAGAAATCACAGAAACTTACCTTTTGGGTTTACTTGTCTATTAACATGGTTCAGGCACCAGTAGATCGCAAATACTTTCTGGAGACCACACGTGAAAAATTTAATGGTTATGTACATGGTGCATTACCTCGCAGGTCTTATATTTTCATTGTTTTTTTTTTAATTTTTAATTTCAAGTTTTGCGTAATAATTACACCATCTGACTTGGAGGATGTATTGTAACTGGAACAGGTATTGACACCAGTGACGCATTACTAGGAAGATATGGAAGGAAATTGTGGAAAGAAAAAGTGAGAGCCAAACTCTATTTATAGAACCCTTTCTAGCATGTACAGAGAAACTAACTAATTTATCACAGCCGGACCGGTTTCTAGTCCCCACAAATGCGATATTCCTACTCAAAAATATCTTTGTGGCAAGGTTGGGTTCCCAGAGGCCATATTATGATCATGGACCTGTATAACATGTCTGATAATGATGACATTGATCAACTAAGCATGAAATCATCATGGCCTGGAGATGGAGAGCCTTGGACGAAACATGATGACTAAGGCGATTCATTATTGCATGGTAGGTCCGGATCAAAAGGAAATTCAGAAGTTTAACTTTGATTTAGAAAAAAGATAGATGAATTAAGTCGAATAGGAATAGGATATTGAATACGTCTACGGCAACTCCCATTAAAGGAAAAAGAATAGTTTCTGATTTTTGTTTTCGCCAGAAAACGATTGTCTGGTTTGATTACATTTTTATTATAGTTGTCTTAATTTGATTTATCTTTAGTCCACGCAACAATTTTTCCAATTTGAAACAAAGATGAAGAAATAAATAATATGATAATTGAGAGCAAGTCATTGGTAATGCAGGCAGCAGGCTTACTTACAGATTATAATTTTTCTTAGGCAAATTTACGGTATAACAGTAAAATATTTTTTTTTTCCTACTCTCTCTGAGGCGTGTTTTATAGGGGAATTGAACTTTCCAAATTTGACACAAATATATTTTGGAAAAGGAACAAAAGATTAAAGTCAACAACTAGCAATAAACTTAATAACACCTACTGTGACATAGTTATGACTTGTGAGTGAGTGTGAGCACAATTTTGTAAGTTGATTTGTTTTATAATTAATTAAGATAACTATATATTACAAATTTTATAACATAAGAAGAAAATATATGACACATGAAATTGAGAAGAGTATTTTCCAAAATTTATATGTAATTCTAATAAATCATATTAATCATGAGTAATTAATAGTACAGGTCGTTTCTCAAGCACAGGATTCCGCTAGTTAAATTAAAGTTAAATAGGTTCACACGGAATACATGTCATATTTGCATTAATACAAAGATTATCGTTGAAGATGCTATAACTTCATCCAATAAACATAGACAAAATAATTACATAAATCACAGAAACACAAAAAACAGAGTCCGAAAATGTACAGGCTTTGGCATTATTTTTTGAGTATGAACAACAATCTGGGAGCGCAAATGGTACCTCGCATTGATAAAATGTAATTCTGTGATTCAGCTTTTAACTTATTGCCCAAGATATTTTTCATACAAAGCCTTTGAGATGGCAAGAGCATCGCCTTTGGCCTTTACAGGGTAAAGCTCATTACCTTCTTGCCACGTGTTTGACTGTAAAATCCATTCTTTTCGCCATTCTCGTAACTTAAACTTCTCATTCTGCCTCAAGCTTCTTGACAGATGACTGAAATAGGTTGAAGCCCGAGGGAGATAATAGCCTTCTAGAAGTCCACTCCAAAACTTGTTGGCTAAAAATGGAACAATACGAAAACATAAAATCAGCCAATCTAAAGAATGAGGCAGGTATTAATATTATACGGCATTTTCATGCATTTTACCATAGTCATGAAGCTTGCTCTGAGTTGTTTGATTGCTGTCAAACCACATCGTCACTTGCGTCCTAGCATTCCATTCATACTGGAGGAGAAAAGAAAATAAGATCAAAACTTGATTGGTGCTAATCACCGAATAAGATGAGTCTAATAATTGACTGATGCTCAACTAAGGCCAAATTACAAAAGCAGTAGAAAAAACACAAAAAACTGCATGCAAGAAACCGAAGGCATGTAGAAATCAGTCATGCTATAAAGTATAAACTAATGGTCAATGAAAAAGGGGGCAAGAGTTATTAGTCACCTGTTTCATCTCACTTGGATTCACTGCCAGTCTTTTGGCACTCTCAAGCCAAGTGCCAAGCAGGAAGTTATCATCAGAGGCGAGCAGCAAATCAATATCCTTTATCAAATCAAGGAACTTATTGCCATAGTAGGCCAAAGCATTGATATCCTTTTTTCTGAAAAGATGTCACTGCCTTGATGTATACTTGGTTCGCCAATTTTGATAATACTTGCCGTGTTAAGTCGACCAAGTCATACCTGTCAAGAGGGAACGAATAATTTCAATACAAAACTTCAAGATATTTTTCTTATTTCAGACATCCACCAATCTTGCATTCATCATCTCACATGTTCATATGATATGCTTGTTTCTTTCAAGGAACGTGTGATTCTTTTAACTTTCCTTGCACACTAAAAACAAAATATCATTTTCTATGATACTATCCACCCAGAGAGATTAACTTGTTTAAACTATTCGAATTGTTATGTTGGAATAAATCACTTGAGAGTGTGTATTTAATTCCTTATCGATATCCATTTAACTTAGTTGTGTGCCTCTCAGTAATCTAGACAAGAGAGCATTTGGTGGTCTATTGAAAGTCACTATCGAGAAACTTCCAATAATAATGGTAGTGTAGCATTTTCCAATCCTCTTATCCCCAGATCAGGGCCACAACTCATCATCTATGATATGATTTAAAAGCGCAAAGCCCGACGGGAAAGTGGAAAAAGAAAGGGGGAGTTTATATGGAAACCAAGAATAAATTTATTTCCATTTTTGGAATTACAATCTTTAAAGGAGAACATGCGTCATGAGATTTAAAGAGTAATTAACTCATGAAAATTTTGCATATGCTAAGTTTACCTGTATGTGAGGCTTCCAGCATAATCCGTCCCTGCACCGAGGAATAGTTTCAAAGCTTGGTTACCTCTTCAGTAGGATACCACAAATGAGCCTGCGGCATATCAGACTTTGTTTCCTGGGACAAGAATCTTCTATTTCCAAGGGGTAAGAAATCAATCTTCCGGAGATTTGAAGGGTCCCAGTCAGGAAGCATTACAATAAAATCATGGTTATGGTCCTGTGACAAATTAAAGAGCAGTGTGAAGTGATAGTCATGTCCTGAACTCCTGATGATACAAGTCTCAACTAAAGAAAATGCAAATTGTGTTCATGCAACTTAGATGTGTGGTTGTATGTTTGTGGTTATAAATATTGGCAAAATACTTATTCCAACTTACAAGTTATGCAATGTCCAAGACTAATTTCAAACATCCACAATTCATTTCTTTAAGAAAAAGAACCCAGCATCTCTGCCTAGAACCCTACCCTCTACTTGAACTTGTTTCGTAGAAGTTTTGGGTTTGTTTCTTTAAATCCCAGAAAAAAATGAAGAATGTGTCAAGTGAAGTATGATAGATAAGACTCTAAAGGGCAGAAAAGCAAATTTATCAACTAGCATGATAGACGAAGCATTTTAAGGGGAGCAATATAGAAGACATACAGCAATTCCATCAGTACAATTGTAAACTGTACGATAAAGAATCTCCCAAGCTGCGTCAATTTGATTATTTGCTTTACCATATCTTCTCTGGGAATAGCTCTTGAGCCAATCCTGTAAATGCATTAGGGTTCAACAACCCCATCCATAAACATTTCAGTGAAAGCAAATAAACACATGGTCCTCTCGAGCATGTTTGCACGTAGACAAGGTAAAACACACTTTTTTATTTAGTATTCTTGTAATTTGTGGGATTAAAAATATTCTTCTAACCTATCTTGAAGATAAATCAAATCATGCAAGTGAGTGTATTCCTTTTGCCATTCCAAACTACCTAAACCGAGTTATTACTGAGCTTCAAAGAGTCACCAAGAGCATTTATTTAATTTTTCCTGGAGCTAGTTTCTACGCTCGCACCAATTTGTCATTTTCCTCTCTCTCTCTCTCTATATATATGTGTGTGTGTTGCAAAATCTATTTCACATAACAATTAGAAGAACATCAAACAACAGGTAAATACAAATCTCATTGCATGAAGTTCAAGTGAAGAGAGCTTAAGAATAACATTACCAGAATTTGAACTTTATCATCACGAAATGCCATCTCTGACATCAGCTCATAGACAACAGGGTTCTGCTCTATTCCTTCCATGCACATACCAACTCCTACCTACACAAACATTACTATCGAAGGTAAAGCTAATAAGAATGTACAAGACATTATAAAGATAATAACCCAATATTTTTCAACTCTAGATCTGAATATCTTAATAGTTAAATGAAATATCATAGAATATAGGCTACAAGATATGTCTATGAAACAACATTAAATATAGAATTCTACATTGTTTCTTATTTATTTTAAGCTTCAAACAAAAAAAAAAAAGGAAAGAAAAGGGGGAAAAAACTCAACCCGTTGCTGAAACCAAAATCAATATGTCCACATAAATACTAAGAATCCTAGCTTTACCATGGTTGAATTGTCACTGACACGAGCATCAACAGGTCCCGAAGATATTGAATCCAAAATGCCATACATTTCAATATTACCACCAAAATTATGTAACAAACACCTGAAACGGTTATTAAGGAAGCATACTTGTCATTCTTACTGAACCGCATAAAGCTTGAAAAAAAAGTCTAAAAAATCTTGCTCGATAGAAAATAGCAAAATTAGCTACTAGAGACTTAATTACCAGATATAAGGAGTACCGTAAAACTGAAATGAAGATTTCCATATTGGTTTGACATCAGCAAATAGATCAAGAACAATCATCTTCCCAAATGGAACGGAATGTAAAAGTGCCTGCAAATATCATACAGCTAGTCAACAAAAGAACTAATAAAATGAAGAAACATTAGCAAGTAGATTGTGAGACGATAAAACAGAAGATGTGAAACAAGAATTCATAGTGCACAAACAGTTTATCAATTTGGGACCTTAAGCCCAAAAGCACATATCTTGAAACTAGAAAGCTAAATCATCACAGAACATGTTGCAGAACTGCTTTAGTAAACAAGGAGTCTTAGAAGATCTCTATAGGGCCTTAATTAGTTATTCCACTCAGAATTGTTTTGTACCAGGTACCTCTTGGCTATTTGAACATGCCTATCAGCAAGAAAATGGGTTTAACAAGTGCATATAGCGAAAGGCTATGACAGAGTTCTCTAATTTGCATGTGTACAAAGCATTGACAAATAATACAGGGAGAAACAAGAAGGACAACACAGAAACAGACACCTTTTCAGAATTAAGAACCTGGGGTAAGAACAGACTTCTATTTACATGGAACCAAAGCACAACAAAAGGGAATCATTAAACTAACACGTTGAGTACTTTCATTATTGAAGCATCAGTCCACTATAAAAATAATATCAACCAACTGTTTCTGATCCATTGGAAGCTGCCTAATGGGATATCCTATAATTACCATATTTATTTAGCAAGGTTTGAACCTGGTGAATTGACATCAGTTATCATATTCATGTACTAGGATATAAAAGGATCAGATCTCGATTTGGTGCTACAAATCTAATTTTTGGCAGAAAACTCATAAGTACTCAAGAAATAGTAGCCCATGAATCCCATACTTTCATTTGAGGAGGCTTCCAGAAGGCTGAATCAGAGTAGAAAAGCCAGCCCTGCAAATTTAATGGAACTTCTTAGCCACAAATTACTATGTATATTACAAATGGCACCTAAATTTTAATTAAAAAAATAATGATCCCATGTCATAGTTAATCTATAATAAGAACTTTGACAAAGAAAACTTCGTTCTTCTTAGTTGCAGGTTGCATTTGATAAAATTGAAATTGCTACCTAAAAACATCAGTGATGGAAACATCAAGCGCTGATTTTTATTTATGAGAACAATCATCGTTAATCAGGCATTGAAGGAATGTACGAAAAGAAACTATTTTCACAATATAAAAAATTTAAAGTAAGAGGAGTTGCTTCTGATACCATTCAGTAAGTGGTGAATGCTTTCAGAAATTTTTGTTTTCTTTTCATTATAGGCATTATTCCAACATCATTAAATCATTTTTTGTCCTTTTCTTCCAAAGAAGAAGAAAAGCACAGAATTGAGCTTTCAAACTAGCCTTGCGATGAAGACAGTGATAGCAAATTAGCAATGCAACGATGGATGAAAATAAAAACATTCAGTACAAACAACGAAGAAAGTAAATTACCTGACTAGTGGCTAGAAACATATATATCTACATTGAGAGGTCAAAAAAAAAAAAAAAAAATCAACGGTTGACTCCACAGTTCAAAAGTTTCTTGGCTAGAAGACACAAAGCATGAATTTTCTGGTTCTTGACATCATATTCTATATGAACTCCTGTATTATTTTCCATTATTTCTTCAATAATAAATGGAATTGGAATGTAAAATATCAATCAAGAACTGCAATAAATGTATTTAGTATATAACCTGTCAAGCAAAATTTACTAACGACTGTGAAGCAGGATTTGTCATAGGCAATCAAAACATCTGGTTTTCCTAACTTCAGAAATTAAGAATCTTATTATGAGAGGAAATAATTTTAGGTAATATACTGTGGTAGATGGGAGAATAGAGGAAAAGGTGAGGTCCTGAGTTATTTGATGCATACTTGCATTAACCATATAGCATCCTTATCAGCTTTGGACATTGCTTCATATACAGCAGCTCCAAGATCTGAGATATATTCTGGATTACTGGTTGGTGGAGAGTTCTCATTAAACGTATCACTGCAGCCAATGATGGAATATTTATGTCAGCAATCCTCTGGAAGAAAGCATGGATTCTCAATTTTAACAAATGTCTACATGAACTATAAGTGGATATGCTAATTTATGACTTTTGCTTCGTCTAAAAAAAGCTCTAATAACAAAACAAAAGGATTTTTAGATTAACAGTTGATGGATTGCCACGTTGAAATGAAATTATCTAAGGAAAAAAAGAAAGAATACAATCTTTAGATAAAGAGAATCTACCAGTTGTAGATGTCTGTTACATCTCCATATTCTGTAGAAAGTACCATAAAAAGGAAATGTAAAACTGACAGATAACAGAGAGAGAAAAAATAACATTTCAGTTCGGGACTAAATAAGTGCCCATAGTGTAACATTTTTAATTATCAAGACATGCATCAAATAAAGAAAGGAACTAGGAGATTGGACAAACCTTTGATTTGTTGCCTGATAAAAGCTTCACCAATTTTAACAAATAGAGGATCAGAGGGATCAAGAAGGTAAGTACAACACCAGCGAGGGTCACCATCCACAGTGTTCCTTAAGATATAAGAAAAGAAAAACTTGTAAACTTCAGATGATAAATTCATATATATTTGACATAATCTACATATCTGGAACTCTTTATCTAATTCAAACAAAGTAATATAATGCATACTGAATAACAGAAGCACCAATATATGACATTCAAACTAATAAGCATTACCAGTCACCAAGTCTTGTTATTTTTGCTGAGGGATATATCTTCGTCAAAGCTGCTGGAACATTACCAGAGAATGATGGCAACACTGGAAAAGATGAGCTCAATATTATTACTCAATCATTGAATTTAGAAAATGTGGTAGTCTGGTAGAGAAAATTGAGATTGTAAATCTTAATCCCCTGTTTAACTCTAGATCCGCCAAAAAACCATACAAAAGTATATAGGAACATAGAAGAAGATTGTCTAAAGTGCATGGTGAAATTTAGACAGAAAGTAAAAGTGAAATCTTAAACCCCAGGCATGAAAGTTTGAAAATAAATTTCCCCAATTTTCCATAATTAGTTACAAATTGAGACTAAGGTAGCATGAGATGCCTAGTCTCACATTGAGTAGTATGAGCTACAGTATAAAATGTTTAAATGGGTTGGTTTTCTCACCTCAACAGCTAGTTTTTTGAGGAATGGTTACCCATCCGACTTGGGTATCTAATCAATTATGCATTTGCATTTTACTCACTGAGATGAGCCAAATCTTAGGTACATGTATTAGGTTACTGCATGGGGTCAACTTACATGGGTTAATTCTTCCATTTCAATAGCTAGCTTTTGAGTAAGGATTCTCCATCCTACTACAATACCCATCAACCATCAATTGCTTTTTACTCAATGCAATGTGGAGTCGTCCTATTCTAGATATATGTATTGCTCAAACAACATATAATGAAAACAAATTTTCCCTTAAATGCAAGTATACCTGGAGTCATGCCCAAATCTAGCATTCGAGAGACTATCTTTTTTTGTAAGGTCAACTGTTGATCTAGCCAATTTTGTGATAAAGGCCCACCCCACCTATAATAAGATAGCAGCATTGAAAACCAAAAACACATGTTTAGGATAACAATTATGATTTATTCTATATGCTCACAGAAATTATTGGATGGCATCCAGGATATAGCCTATAATATGGATAGAGGAAGAAAGGCATTACAACCACTATAATGTCAATCAGAATGGATAGAAGAGAGAACTATATTTCCACATAATTGATAGCATTTCCTAACGGAAGAATACTGTGCCATGGACAGGGTGATAGTTGCAATTGCAAGTTCTCCTGATCTCTATACTAAAAATCATGAAGAAATTGGGGAAAAAAATCATCAGTAATACACTTCAGAAAAGAAGTTACAAGGAAATAATTGCTAATCCGGATTGATCCAGCATATACTGTTTCTAGCTATTAATATTGGAATGGGACTGTAACTAAAGAACAATGGAGCAATTGTAGTAACTTTAGATTGCAGCAACTCTCTAGCCATTTCCTTTTTTCCAGTGAACATTATAATTTTTTGAATAATGTATGCCATTATATTATATGTCATACATGAAAGTTCCACTTTTATGTAATGAGCAAGATATGTTTGATTACTCAATTCACTAGACCTTGCTCTGGACTGTATATACAAATTCAAGAAAGGTAGACAAAATTTTCATATCACCTTCACCTACCCATGCATATTGCCCATGCGAGCCCAAGCAAGGAAAGCAGGTCCACCAAAAAAGTTATTTAAATCTTCGGAACTAATATTAAAACCCTACAGTTAGAAAATTCCAATCAAATTGCAGCCGGCAGAGAAAACATACACCTGCATTTATGTAATTTATGGGAATAAATGACATCAACTACAAGAATATCTCAGGAGAGTTAGAACAGAGGATGAACCTGCAGTAATCATTTTAAAAAGGGATTTATTGGAAACTAGATCAATTAATCCGCTTGTGACAGGGTTAGCCATACTAGTGGTTAACTTGTCTCTTCTATAAAATGTGAAAGGAAGAACAGGTTAACCCATCTAATTCTCTCAAATATGCTTACCTATATTGGTGCTACAAGGACTATGGATAAAGACCGTCATATTCATTACTATCATATGCACGTGTATCATTTCAGACACATGCTTACCTATAATGGCGCTACAAGGACTATGGGTCTTTCAGATGGTCAAAGACGTAACAGAAAGCAATACTTTTTAAAATCATGAAAGCAGAGCAGACACACGCCCTTACTTAAAGCATTCACTGTACATAGCATAATATGGCAATAAGAACTTGACTTTTTAATTTGGCAACAAAATTATGTAATAAACCTGGATGTTGAGATGGCTATCTGCAATTTAGTATCTTTGGTTTATTTGAACCAACTTGAACAAAGTTGATATCCTAAACTAAAAATTCCTTTCTCTAACAATAAATTCTATTCATATATGCATAAACATGTAGATAGCATTTCACCTTAAAAGTTTTTTGCCAGATTGCTTCCTGCCCAGTAAATGCTAAGGGTAGGTTTACTCCCTGAAGTGCCATCCAGTCTATCTCTTTCTCCCACCTCTCCCAGTCCCACCAAACATAGGAATCTGTAAAGAACTAAAAGGTGCGATATTACATTACCATACATGAATAAAGAATAGGTTGTATGCCAAATATGTAAGCTGACCAAAATTAAACAAATGAGTTTTAAATCCAATTCCTTGTATATTTTTGCCAATAGAAAAGCATATCATGTGGTCAGTCAATACTGAGAATGCAGTATTTCTTCAAGACCAGAATGGAGTTGATATTACATTCCCGTACTGGATTCTTGTATTACAACATGTCAACATCAGAATTATAACTTTACCCTTCAAATCAAACCAAGTAACTGCTTTAATTCATATTCCCCCTAGAGATGTTAAAAATTCAAATCTCCAAATAATTGCTGCCAAAATACGTTGATTAAAATTGCTAACATTTGTTGCAAGTTAGAAACATGTGATCGTGTTCACTTGTGAAAGCATGTAGATAATACAAAGTTTCAGTGATTGAAGGTACTGACAATTTAACAATAATAACCTATAGCTATTGCATTGTCTTCATCTGCCCTATGAGTGAGAAGGATATCAACTTTTTCTTAACAAAGAAAAAAAATTGTCAAGAGAAATAAAGAATTCAAAGATTATGCATGTGAAATCCTCTTAAAACCATCATACAATAAAATAAAGTAGGGGGATAAAACAAAGTTTCAAGGAGCTTCCTAGTTTTCCATGAAACCAGTCTATTTTATTTATTGATGCAGCAATCCCTGAAATTTAACTTCTTATGAAGAATAGTTCTATTTTTTTTTTCTCTTTATATTTTTATAAGTAAAAGGTTATTGGTAATAGCCAAAAGATTAGAACAAGGAAAAGGGAAAAAAAATTTCATGAAAAGGAAAAATAAGATTTAGGACTCACAGCTAGATGTCACAACATTCTGGTAATAATTCCATGGAACTGGGCGTTTAATCATCAGACCCTCATCTTTCAGAGGGGGTAGTGACCCAGGCTTAGGGATTGAAGCTATCTGAATGCCACCAGTCTTGTCCCATGAAACATGAGCACCACACCAATATTTTAGATACCAATGAAGGCCAGATGCAATTTCAACTGCAGTGGTTCCTTTAATCCTAGAAATTGCGAAGTGAACATACAAATGTCAGAGAGGCATTAAAGTGGAAAGAATTTCCATTTTCTTTATGGCATGTCAAAAATATTTTTTATTCCAGCTTTGGTTTATCTAACACAATACAAGAAAAACTTATCAAAGTGGCAACATGGCATATTTTCATTAAGCTGCTATCTTGGTTTATTTCAAAATCATATGCCTTCAGGAAGATGGGGCATTCAGTAGTGTGTTTTGTTTTAATTCTCTCAGCGACTAGGGTGATCATGTAAGACTTCCACAAGAAGTAATGGAATTACACCACAATTATCACAAGAAATGGAAAGACAGCTGAGCATACATGGGACTACTGCACCTGACAAGGAGAATCAAAGAAATGATAATAAAATTCAACTTAAATGTAAATCTCACTGATGTAGTAGTTAGCTAAATCCATATCAGAAATCCAATTAAAGAAGCCATGTCTCAGTGATGGAGAATATGCTTGATCAATTTTCCTTTGATTATTTCTCGTTTACTAGAGTTAAGGTTTAAACTCAGCATCAACCATCTCTATCACGTATTGCTTTTCTTGGTGCCAATTAATTGAGAATATTGATCATGCACAAGAAGATAACAATGATAGTGAAACATGGTACAGAACGTCAATGATTTGCATTGATACAAAGTTTTGAAAAATAATATCCAGCTGTACTGCTGATCCTTAGTGGAGTCCACCAACTTAGGATGTCCCATGGACATTGTGAAGAATCAAGCCTAAATACGTGAACAGAAAGAAAAAGAACAAGAAATATTAACCCTAGTCTTGAGTTAGAATTAGATTTAACATACGTGATCCCAGGCCCAGTCTGGATAGACTGGTCGTGATTGTTGATCCGAAAGCAACTCTCCCCCCCACAAGCATCCTGAAAATTTGAGAGAGCATGTTTTATGTTCCGTCAAGAAAATGCAACATGCAAAGTATAGTTTGGTAATACACGATAAGATGAATCAGTATTTACAGGAAAAAGTCAACGCTCCTTCCAATAAATTCAGCAAGTTCAATGACTATGACAGAATACCCACACTGATCATTGCATTAGACTATGCAACTTAGTGTACTACAAATCATATAAAATATCTGCCAAAGTAAAAGAGAGAGGGGGGAGGGGAGTTCATGTGGAGAAACAGCCGATCTGAGCTTCCAATGAGAGCATAATGAAAAGCATCATTAAGAAGACAGTCAGGAACTTTAAACTAAATGCGACAAAGATTGAGGTCACAAATTAACACTAAAATGGAAAAAAAAAAAGGAAAAAGGAAAAGGAAAATTAGTTCTGGTTCCTGCTTTTTTCCAGCTTTATCAGTGACCGAAACAAAGCACAATTGCGAACCAAAACAGATTGGCACAAGGACACTAATGATTAACCAGCACGTAAAGTCTCAAATAAAACTAATAAGATTCACCGAGTTAAAAAGAAAAGCAAACACCTTAGAGATTATTTTGAACTCAAAACTGGATAAATGGGAAGGAAGCAGTCTTCTCAGAAGATCTCTAGCTGCAGCTTCTTGCACTGAAGCTGGGACCCGTTTGGAGTCCAAGCGCTGGAGCAAAGCTTCTATAGCTTCATGCTTGGAGAAAGCCACGGATAGTAGCGTCGGGATCAAAATCAAAAACAGAAACTCGAACTTGAACATATTTCTACAGTGGATCGAATTTTGCATTATCGAACACAGGAACATGAATGATCATCTGTCCTGTCCTTCTTGTCTGAGGTTCACCTGTTCCATCTCATCCTTTGGAATTTTATTACTAATTAATAATTAATTACTTAAAATTAATAAATTTGATTAATTAATTTTTTTCCTAACGGATAAAACTATAATATAACAGTATTGCTCCCAGCACTGCTTTGGTCGTTTCGCCGCCGAATACTTATCACGACAGCTAAAACGACTCGCTGATTTTACAGGCCTTCAAAATACGGCAGATTAAAATCCTGAAAATTGCCGTTGGGCTTGGGCCTTCATCATAACTTTGGGACCTATTGGTTTTCCCCAGAAAAGAAATGAAATATAAAACCCATAATTACGTTAAAATACGAAAAAACGAGGGATCAGTTACGATCAAGGTACGTAAAACCGGACCGGTCATTAAATCGATCATGGCACTGGATCACGGGTTAGTGGTTCAATCGGGGTTGAACCGGGGCTTGAACCGGTGGCAAACCGGTCATGATTAAAATAATACAATTTAAATAAAAAGACATTAATTATAAAAATATTCAATCAAATCCAACCACTCAAAAGTCTAATAATAATAAAATACTATATTTTTGAACTTAGCATGCTCTATTTCTAATTTTCATTTTTTGACTTCAATTTCACTTTTTTTTTGTTATTTTTTTTCTAAACTCAGAGCTCTGAAAAATTAAAAATGAAAAAAAAATCAAAAACGATGTCATTTTGAGGTAAAAGTCTGAAAAAATATTAACCCGGTTAACCCAGTCAACCCACTGGGTTATCCGGGTTATACTGGGTTGAACCCGGGTTGACCGGGTTACACCGGTTTACTTCCTCATCGGGTTAAGAGCCAACCCAGACCAGACAGGGGACTGGTTCACCGGTTTCCGGGTTGACCCGGCCGGTCCGGTCTGGTTTTCAATATCATGGTTATGATGAAGTTTGCTTGGTGCATTGAAATGGCATTTTTAAAATAACTCATAAATATTTCATTAAAATTTGTAAGGGAAAAAAGTTTCATATTAAGTAACACGAGGTTTATAAATAGAAATCGAGGAAGCATAAAAATAGAAATCGAGGAACTTGCTTGAAAACACCTTCAAAAAGCACCAAATAGTAGTTTTCATGAAGTGTAATGTTTTCTCAAACATGCTCTAAGCATCTTAGACTCTTTTTAGGCATCTTCATTGCCAATGTGTAAAATAAACGTGTCTAAGATGTCTTCGTTGATTACAGCCAAACCAGCGTAAAAATCAGCATAATCAGAATACATCACAAGCTCAAACAAGACCAGTCATGACATGACATAAAATAAAAGGCAAATTCTCTGTTGAATCATGAATGTTGAACTCTAGCCAAATCATATTGCAATGATTTCTGACAGTACGATTGATCATGGGATAGCAAAATCAGCCAGCAACTGTGGGAGTTTTTTTTTTTTTTTTTTGCATTCGTTATTTCTCTGATTGATGGCCTCGTTTCGACATTATTCTCTTTCTCCGATGGTGCCATCTGTCCCTCCTTGATGCCACCCTCTTGATTGGTAAGTCCTAGATGTACCAAACTGCTTCCTAACTTGTTCAAAACTCGCAAGTGAATGAAATCCAGCATGCTTTCAAAGCTATCTGTATAATTTGAGACCATAGAGTAGATTTGCCATCTTTTTTCAAAGAGATGCTGAAGTTCCTCGTTAACCATGAACAATATTCATATTACAGTTCATACACAATGAACATTAGTTCACCACCCAAAAAAGAACATACATCAAACAAAATTGCACTGTGAGAAATAAACGCTTATCAACAGAATCAGGAAATATTTGCGTTCTGCAATGATTGGCATGCCACTGCACCAGCAGATGTCCGCATTACATGCTCCCCAAGCATTGCTACACAAGAAGCATCTGTCTTAAGATGAGGTTGTACCGATTCCCAGGTCTTCTTTTTCTGAATCTGCAGATAGTCACGGAAGAATAATAATAGTTGCATCAAAACATGGGATTGAGATCCAGGATCAATTACCAAGATATAACAGAGCAAGAATCAACTATTTTGAAAACTTTCAGAGAAAATATCACTCCATGTATATCCTTCCATTAAACTAGACACGTTTCTTTTGTATTATACAGAGTTTGAAAAATAAGTCACACTATTCATGGTTTATATAGCTTGTTATGAATTTATATTATACATTGATACATGGTTTGAGTAGGAGAGATAAAAGTGAGACCATAGGTTATAATCTGGAGCAGAAAAACCACATTTGGAACCCATTACATTTTAAGCCAACGAGGCCTTCCAATAGATAAAAATAAGCAATTAGAATACAAAAAAGCTAAACAAATTATCGTGTCTGAAAGTAAATGCAATCCAAAAGCAGATCTGCTAAGCTGATAATCTGCCCTGAAGTCACATGGCATATCGACCTTTGCCACTAACTCCCAGACTAATATCTGTCATTTTCTTTTGAATTTGTATGCAAGTCAACTCCAAAATTTATTCAATGCAATCGATTCTATTCATTTCTTTCTATCTTCGGCCCCTTGTTATTCAGATTTATAGATCTTCATTCCTAAACTTTAGTATGTGATCGATCTCTTCCTTGCAACATCAAAAACAATTCCAGATGATTTCAGATCTCAGTTTATCAGCTCAACCCAGAATGAAAGGTTCATTGAATAGTAAAATTTGGTGATTGTATGAAAATTTGCCCAATATTTAAGATGACAAAGTATCATATGATGAAAAGAAAAATGTTCAGTGTCAGGTAATATTCTCTGAGTTTCTGCAGGCGAAAAAGAAAAACATAGCATGTGCTTAATCTTAAAAATTTAATCATTACAAACCCAAGTTGTCATCAATCTAATAGTCTTCAAGATATTTGAAGCATGCCTTTAGCCATCATTAAGATAATTTTCAGAAGCCTTCTGTATTAAAAGAAAGATTGTTTTCTTCATCACTAACTGTAATTAAAACAAAATTTGTCCATAACTGACAAAAATAAACTTAGCCAAATTTTTTAGCAATAAAAAAAGTCATTGCCCAATGTTATAGAACTTATGCATTAAACAAGGCTATCATATGGTTATTGAAGCAGAGCTATTACCTGGTTCGGAGTGGCAGGAGCAGGTTGATTTTCCTTTTCATCTTCTGATCCAAACCATATTCTTTCCCCAGGGGCTGCTTCCTCAGGAGGAAAAAGAAGTTCAACATTTTCATGCTTTGCATCAGAAGCAGCCATGAGCATTCCGGAAGACTTGACCCCACGCATGTTCCTTGGCTTCAAATTGGAAAGCACAATTACTTTTTTGCCCTGCACATATGAATTAATTATGATGTTGAAGAAGGTCAGACAAACATGATACTTAAATCACAACTTCAAGTCCAATCCTGAAACCTCATTTTATATTTAAAAACAGTTACTGCAGTCCAAACGACAAGAATCTGTCTATCTGATCTATCATTTCATACATTATTTGCACAACATAAAGCGTCTTGCTAGCAGAATTATCATTTCAAGGAGCAACAAGTGACAGGACTTGAAAGTTAATATAACTGTTCTTCTCTGTAGGCCCTTACTAAGTCCAAGAAGACAAATCAACATGGAAGACCAATGCATAATACATCTCACAGGCTTCCCCCAATCCCTCCCATTATTATCAAAACTTCAAAAACAGATTCATGCAAAGAAATATATTCTCATACACGTGTCTTAATTCGTTTATTACATTTGTAAGAATGTCAAATCGAAATAGTTTTTTTCCAAGGTGGAAAAATTAGAAAGATAGCTGCGAAATAAATTGAGTGTGCATCAAAGTATCAATTTTAAACTTGAATTGCTCATGTATCAAAATAGGAATTGGAGTTGTAAAGGCTCAGCGATCAAACCCCACATAGAAATTGCCTAAAAAGAACCAGAAAAATTGCAAATGCCGGGATAAAGAGCCGAAAGACAAAAAATCAAGCTGACTTCGAAAAATCACCTGAAGGTGGTCAAGAGGAATGTATTTGACAAGGCCACTGCATATAATTCTGGGCTCTGGCTCACCAATATCGACCTCTTCCACATAAAGAGAATCAGCTTCCTCGTGCTTCCACGCCCTGAGAATTTGCCCAACCCTTATGTCAAGCAAGCCGGCAGCGTCCTTAATATTTATTTCACCGTTACCAGGAGCATCGCCGGAATTGGTTGCGACGGATTCCGCAACTGCTTCATCAGTAGAAGCGGTGCAAAAGGAAGAGAAGGAAGATGAGATTCTTCTTCTTTCTTGGGACGGTACTGAGATGGAGAAAATGGGGAATTTGGAATGAGTAATGAGAGAAGAGCGAGGTACAAAGGATGAAAGGGAGCGATGAGCCCTGATTCTCCATAAGGAAGAAAGCGAGAGCATTGTAGTGCTACACTTTACAGCATTTGTAGCGATGGTGCTTGTTGCCATTGCGACCGTAGTGTAATCTCCTTCGATCTTTTACAGCTCTCTGGGTATGATGTGCTGATTTGCTGATGATATGAGCATGAGATAAGTCGCTTGTTTGGGAATGAAGTGCTTCGACTATAACACATCATCAGCAAAATGTATTGCGATTTGAACTCCTGATATGCGAAATTTTGCATTGGAAAAGAGAGAGAGAACGAGTGATAGTTAAATCTCAAAATATTAAATTAATATTAATTAAATTTTAAATTTTTTTAAAAAAATAAATTAAAAATATCAATTTAAATCATTATAAATTTAAAAATTTTAATTATAAATAAGTATTTAAATATTAAATATAAGTTTTAAATTATAATAAAAAATTTCGTTTGTATTGTTTAAATTAATATTCATAATTCATCTTATAAAAAATTTTATCAAAAATTTAACTGTTATCAATTCATTTCTTTAGAATCTCACTATTTTTTCTCTTGAAAAATTGATAAATAAAATAATTATTTTTAAATTTTTAAAAATTTATCTATCATGAATTTTTTTAAAAAAAATTATGTTTCCAAGTTTTAATCCTCTACAGAATAATAATAAAATATAATTATTATAATCTAAACTAAAATTATTAATAAAAAATAAAATTGTTAATATAATTTTTTTTGATAAAAAATTGTTAATATAATAAATGTAGTTATTGTTTTAGAATTAAATTGAAGTTATCATTAACTATATTATTAACATTTAAGCTGAGATTGTTAATATAAGAAACCTACATGTTATTATATATTTAAATTAAAAACTACATTTTTTATATTAATAACTTTACTTTCATTATTAACAACTTTAATTTAAGTATGATTAGGGTGAAAAATATAATTTCACAACATAAAATTCCGTTAGATAAGTTTGCAAGAATTAGTCAATGATCACTTATTTATCATTAGTATTTAATTTGATGGAATTTATTTTTCGTTGTTTGTTTTCCATGAGTTTGAGGTCATACAGTATATTCTTGTTTTTAAAATTAAATTGATAATTAAAAAATTAAAAAAATAAAATTATATTATTCTTTTAAGGAAAATATTCTGACCACCTTTTTATTTTGCTTTAATTATATAAACATCCTTTCTATTTTAAAAATATACTCTAATTTGTTGACTTCATTAGGAATATTCTTAAAAGATTTTAAAAACTTATTTTTAAATTAAAATATATATTATAAAAAAATTTATCTATTAATTTACCCATCACCTTAATAAATCTTAAATTATATTATTTTAACAGTTTCATAATTTCATTGTAAAAAACACGTTTACAAATTTTAAACTTTAAATTTAAGTTATTCATATAATCTCGAGCTTATATGTATCTATATTATATGATGAATAAAAATATACTTTTTGTAATTTTAAGAAACATAAATAAATAAGTTTTAATAAATTTGATAAAATTATAATAATAAAATTTTATAACATGATAGAAATTAATAATTGTTGTAATAAAATAAAAATTTAAAAATGTATTTATAATATTTTTTTTAGTTGTAGATAAAAAAATATTTTTTGGCAAATACAAATTTTTAGAAAGTTCATGTCAAATAGGGGTATTTTGGTTAAATAAAAAATTTAAAAGTTAAACTTAATTGTCAACTAGCAATTAGATAGATGGAAATAGAATCCCAAATGTACAATTCACCCAAAAAAAATCTCAAATATATAACTGTTAAGGGTCAATTTTATTCCTGAATTATACATAAAAGGTTACAAATGTTTCTAAATTTAATTTATGATCAATTTGTCTCTCAACCTAAGAAAATTTGCTAACCATGGTGCCCTTGATGTCAAATTATACATTGTTCTTGTTATATGGGTTTCACATTTAAATTTTTTTAATATTTTTTATTATATTATAAAAAATATTAAAAAATAGTGAGACTCACTAAAATATTAAAAAATTTAAATATAGGCGCCACAAACAAAAAAGAAATTAATCAGACAAACAACAGGGTAATGGATTTAAAAATTTTTTGCACTTGAGAGATATAAATTACACACAATTGAATTTAGGATCATTTGTGAACTTTTGAGTATAATTTAATAACAAAATTTACCCTTAACCCAATATACAATGAAGGTTTATGTAACACATATTTAAATTTTAAGGGAGGTTTGTATGTATTGTTAAAATATTAGGGTGATTAGTATATTTTACTGGAATTTTTTTTTTATCTTTTTAAAATTTTAGAGCAACCATTAACCCTAAAGGTTCTAATTAAATGTATCTACGGTTTTTTATTTGAACAAAAAAATTGCAGGATAACTATGAAGGTCATTGTAATTTATCACATTCGCATGGAATATTGACGCCTGTGAACATACTATATATGTCCATTCAATTTTTTCTTTACGTTGGTAAAATATATTTATTCTCTAGATCAATTTATAACTAATTTTCATTCAAAAATTAAGTTGAATAGCAAATCCTAGTTATCAGACGTTGTTATTACTCAAGCATGTGGCTTCTTCCTTTTCAATGGATCCGAGTATTACAAGATGTGCAGCATTTTTTTCTCTTCTCCAGATACTTTCTCACCCTTTGAAGATTTCAAAGTGATGCTTATGCCACTTATATGAATATCACATGAGATGCATGAACAATCCAGAAATTAATGCCAACACCAAACCCACTACCTGTGGCGAGGCTTGATCTCACGCCCATGGTTGAATCTTCTTTTACGCATCAACACCAGAAATTTAACAATAACTAGTTCCACAAAATCAAAGTAAGCAACACTCCAAGATCTATTCATTGCCAATATGAAGAAGGGTACCAAAAGCCCTGCTGCAAATCCTCCGCCAAGGAACAAGTAAAACCATTTATCAATGAACCCATCATCATCATCATTGTCCTCTTCATTTCTTCTGTCATTACCTGTTCCCCTGTTTGGATCATGAACATGATCATCACCATTAAGTTGGCACATCACAGGAAGGGGACAGCCATAGAGATCAGGGTTACCAACAAATGAAGATGCTTCAAAAGTTGTCATGTGACCTTTGTAGGGGATGGCACCAGAAAGATTGTTGTGGGATAGATTCAAGTAGCCCAAAAATGATAATGAAGACAAGCTTTGAGGAATGGAACCAGTAGGTTGATTGCTTGAGAGATCAAGGGATGATAATTGATGCATATTTGATATGCTCTCAGGAATGTGGCCTGTCATGTGGTTTCTTGACAAGTTCAAAACCACTAGACCAAACAAGCCTGTTACTTCTTCGGGTAATGTTCCAGACAAGTTGTTTCCTGAAAGATCAATGCTAGTGACAAGGGAAAGAGTCTTGGTGTACATCAGTGATTGCCCTTTTGTATTCACAATCAATCTATCTTGATAGTACGCACCTCGAAATATCCCGTGCATTATATTTCTGATCATTATTTTCTCTTGAGCCATGGCTTTAAGATCACCAATGCTTGTCGGAATACTGCCACTCAAGTGATTCTCCCCAACGTCCAAGACTTGCAACGAACTTAACTTTGAAAGCTGAGAAGGTATTTCTCCATAGAATGCATTTGACCTTAAGTTTTAGAATCGTAAGACATGAAAAGCCGTCTCCAATCCAAGTAGGAATTTCACCTGAAAGGTCATTGTTTCCAAGATCCATGGTCATCAGAACGAATAAATTGATCAAAGATGATGGCAGGTTCCCTGATAGTTGGTTGTTGTTCAAGTGTAACACTTGAAGTGATTGCAATTGACCTAAGGAATATGGAATATCTTCAGACAAAATGTTGTTGCTAAGGTCTAATGTGGTCAAGAAATGACATTTTGAAAGGTTTTAAAGGATACTTCCAATGAAATTGTTGCTTGAAAGATCAATGGCAAAAAGAGAACCACACATCTTTTCTATAGACTCTGGTATGTGTCCAGACAAGTGATTATGAGACAGAGATAAGAACATCATTCGAGGCATGCCATTCCAGAACCAATTTGGCACAGTATCTGAAATGCTAGCATTTGAGATGTCTAAAAAAGATGAGATCTTGTGATTTGATCCACGTTGGAAATGAAGGTCCCAAAGCACACGAACCCATTCCGAGCTTTACGAGCGTGAATGGAGGCATCCAATTGGAGCTGACATTTAGAACCAATGAATTATAAGACAAATCTAACAAAGTCAACTGGGTTAACTTTGAAAAGACAGCTTCAGAGACTGTGCCATATAATTGATTGAAAGAAACATCGAAGATTACCAAGGCAAAAAGTTGTCCTAAACTTTCAGGAAGAGTCCCGTTGAGTTTATTCGTTGAAAGCTGCAAGGTGGTGAGATTTTTCAATGACCCTAAAGAACTAGGGATTTGTCCTTCAAACAGATTTTAACTAAGGTCAAGCTCAACAAGATTTTCTACTCGACCTAACCAATTTGGAATTTTACCAATCAGTTGATTGTCGTCCAGATGAAATTGATGTAGATTAGGCAAAGGATTCCTAGAAGGGCAGCTTTCTGTTCCTTCAAGAAATTCAGGCAGACTTCCTGTCATGTTATTTCTTGATAGATAAAAATGACTCAAGTTGCAGAGTTTTCCAATGGAACTTGGAATACCACTTTCAACAGCATTGTTATCAAGGTTAAGAAGGACTAGAGAAGTCATGTTTCCCAAAGATGAGGGGAGTTTTGCATGTACCTTATTGTCATTTAAACGAAGAACTTGTATCTTTTCCCATTTTTTTCTGAAGAGCTGGGAGCAATTTGCTGTTAGATTGTAACTGAGACTTAAATCCAATGAAACTAAATTTGGCATCTCACCCAGACCAAGTGGTATTCTTCCATGTAGTTTACTTTCACTCATATCAAGATATTGGAGGCTGCTTACATTTTGAATCCAATCAGGTATCTTTGAATTGAAGTTATTGAAGCTGAGATCCATGACAGCAAGTGAAGTAAAATTTAAAGACACAAGAGATGGGTCGTAACCAAACAAGCTACAACCAGATAGATGCAGTTCAACTAGAGGAGGTAGCTGATTCAAAGCATCAACCCAATCCTTCACCAATGAAAGGTTGACCCCACTCATATCAAGATATTCTAAAGAGATAAGACCAGTTATCCATTGGAAATTGCCAATAGATAAGTCATGTCGTACCTTGAGATCAAGAACTTCCAAGTGAGATAAATTTCCCAAACTGGAAGGAATGAGGCCACCAAAACCAGCGTCTGACAAGTTTAGATATTGCAAATTGTCCAGTGATCCAAAGAGTTGAGGTATTGCTATGCCATTGAAAGAATTGAAACTCAAGTCTAAATGCCGCAGTGACTTGAGCTGCATCAGAGACGGTCTTATCTCACCACTCATGCTGTGAATGTCGACGGCTACAACTGCTCCTGTATTGTTGTCACACTGTATACCAAGCCACTGACAACAATTGCTGCCTCTCCATGAAGATAACATATTTTCAGGATCATGAAGCCCAGTTTTGAAGTCCATGAGAGCTTCCCGATCAGAGGCCAAGCAATTAATCATGTGGCCATTACTGCTCCCAACAGAAACTAAGATTAACAAGCAAAGGAAGTGTAATAACAACTCAATTGTTGGTAATTTTTCCATGGATATAGCTTTCTCTCAAGCAAAAGGTATGGTTGCAGACACATCTCAGCAGCACATATAAACGGGCAAAGCATCCCATGTGGTTCATTAATTTCCGTGTGAAAAGATAAGCTGACTTTTTGTTCAGTGAAAAGGGTCCACAATTGAAGTTTGCAATTTCTTTGAGACCAAATGAGAAAATGCAGTAACGTGTAAACCCAACTGCTACTGCTGATACTGTTGTCCAACAGCAGACATTGACATCAACAAACCATGTTACCCATTGCCTTTTGCTTCCATTTTTTTCCCCCAATTAGTTTGTGTAAATGTCACGATCAGATTAGCTTCTTTTTTTTTTTTCCTTTTAAGTATTGCATTCAATGATAGAAAATGATAAAAAGTGCAGTTGAGAGACTGCTTGCGTTTCCTGCCAAGAAAGTTATAATGTGCTTCCTTATCACATTGAAAAATTTATTTTTACAGCCACTGAATATATAAGAGGTCAAATTTTTTTTTTTTTAAAGAACTCCACCAGACTGCTAAGAAAACAGAGATCAATATATTTTAAAAAAGCTAATGTTTTGCACAATATAATTTTAAACTAGTAAAAATTCGGTGATTGAATTTTGACTTGACACATGTTACAAGTTTTTTATTTAAAAATTAACAAATCTTACTTGCAAAATTTTATTAAAAAAATTATTTTAATTTTTCACTCAACATAATTAATTATTACAAGGTTCACTAATAACTAAGTTTAGGACAATACAAATAGTTATTCTTTTAAGCTCAGTTGTCAATTACTTTTGGTGTAATTAATTGTATTGAATGGGAATGTAATTTTTTCAATTTTATTTTGAGAATTACACTTACAAATCACAAAATGATAATAACAAACATTTACATTAATTCATGAAAGATTTTTTTTGTTCTTATTTCGGATTTCTAAATCCTTTGATCTTTATTTAAAGTTTAGCTCAATCTTTGGTCATTTAATGTTATTTCCCAACAGTTTCTTTGACCAGATATGCATTAAAAAAAATTAGAAACTGATTCCCATATTATTATTTTAATAAAAATAGTAAAAAAAAAAGAATAGATATAAGAAACATAAAACATATATTACACAAACAAATTGTAACTTTTTACAGGATATCTTTAAATTTTTGTTTTTTGATTATCTAAAGTATCCCCATAATTGGTGGCTATGAGACTAATTCTTTGAAAAATCTAAATACTATTTAAGGAGTTGTCTTCTCTCAAGTAACATTTTCTCATACATATTTTCAAGAATCAAATCCTAAAAAAATGCTTAAAAGGCCCAAGCTAATCCTTCTCTTTAATTTTTATGCCAAAAAAAGATACCGAGTTACATTCTTTTTCACTTATTGAACATAAAATTTCGTGGAAGAATAAACATAGAAGTTCTAGAAGCATGAAAATGGTCCCATGAAGAAACCATAACATTATATATTAGGAAATTTCACTTCAAAACAAAATCATATTTGAGTTTCAAACCACAGACCAAATCCCAATAATCCAGACTATTAAACTTAAATTCGGCAAGACTTGATGTCCACGAGGACAGTAAAGATTCAAAAGAAAATTCAGATAATTCCAAAATAGTGGATACTTACCAATGAATGAAAATCCAAATTAGACCAACTAGTTGGACTAGTATCTCATCGATTAGTTATCCAGTCTAATTTATGACCTAAGGTGGGATAGTGTTAATCTTGACAAACACAATGGTGACTTGGTTAACCCGATCTGTTTATTTGAGCAAAAATATTTAATTTTTTATTGAGATTTTACTGAGTTTGCTAAATTTCTATTAAGATTGTGCTAACATGTGTAAAAATTTTCTCTCTTTATTAAATTGTTATTGGATTATTTGAGTAGAAATAATAATTTTTATTTAAATATTGATTTTTTTCATATTCAAATGTAAATATTTTTATGTATATAAATTAAATTAAATTAAATTATTTTAATTAAAACCAGTTTTATTTTGAGTTGACTCCCAATTGAGTAACTAATCCTTGACTCACTATGTTGACTAATTTAAGGATTAGTTCAGTTTTCAGGATCAATTTTTTTTTTTGGGCAAGTCTTCTTTGTAATGTTCAGAAGCGTTTCTTAAAAAAAAATATTTCTTATTATATTTTTATTCAAAAATATTACAGCAAAGATTTAATAATTGTACCCGTTCCCTTAACCATGTGCCTTTCAGGTTTCACCAATGGTATAATAAGAAATATTTATTCAACAAATATCCATTATTATATTTTTACAGAAGTCAAAAATATTGATATCTTTTTTGTCAAATTTCTACCACCTAAAGTAGTGAATGTTTGATTTTAAAGGGATAACAAAAGTATAAAGTTAAAATAGCAAGTTGAGATGGATAGCAAGCATATATATAAAGATAAAATTTAAAATAAATACATATAAAAAAAGTGGGTGTGACATTTATCGAAAGGAAGATAATAAAAAATTATTTAAGATAATTTGGCCATGTACAAAGAAAGCCATGGGAGTTACCAATGAGGAGAGTGGAACGGATAGCCTTGAATCTTGCAAAGAAGATAAAAGAAGATTAAAGAGAATACTCATGAAACTTGTTAAAAGAGACCTTTTTATTAATAATATTTCTAAAAACTTGCTTAATAATAAAGTATAATATTATCATTCAATCCATATAACTGATTTCATCTAGTAAAATAATGCTTGCATTTTGTTGCTATTGTAGTAGTATCAAATTTATATATAATTTTCAATCAAAAGTAAAGTTGAAAGGAAATCTTAGGTGGGGTGAGTAAAACTGAATCGAAATTAAAAATTAAATTAAATTTTATTTATTTAATTCGGTCTATTCAGTTTTTCAATTCAATTTGATTTTCTTTTAAGAAAAATTTTGGTTGATCGATTCAATTTGATCTAGAAATTCTTGAACCAAATAAACCGAATCAAAATTATACATATTTTTTTCATATTTTTAAAAATATGAATAAATTCTTATTTAGATAAGTAAGAAATATATTTTTACTACTTGTAGTAGTAGCATTTTTTTTGTTTAACATGATGTTCTAATTTTTTATTTTTATAATTTAGTTTTTAATACAATAGTACTGAATTTTATTAATTTTCTCATAAATTATGGTATAAGATTGCTATTTTTTTTGTTGGGCTTTTAACACCAAGGAAAAAAATTGGATAGAAGTATATATGAACAATTAGACTCTATAAACTCAAGTCAAAGATCATGAACTGAATAGGCCAATTGAATCAAACCGTTACAATTCGGTTCGGTTTTAATTCAGTTCAATTATGTATTTCGATTCGATTCGATCAATATTTTTTATATAATTTGGTCGATTAATTTTGAGAAACTAGAACCGAACTGATCGAATTGATCGAATGTGTAATATCTCATTTCACTAAACACAATTAACTAATATAACCTATAGTAATCAAAGGATTAACTCAAAGATTGATTACCAAGGTTTAATTCAAAAGCAAGGGATCCCAAATTTTTCATAATCACAAAGAGTTTAAAATGATCAAAATTTCTTATATCAAAGTAAAAATAAGTTACGAAAATATGAGATACCTCGGAGGAGTGAAAGAAATTGAAAACAAGTGAAAAATAACTCTTTTAATGTGAGACAGAGCAATGCGCCACGACTCTTGCACACTGTGCCATGGCGTGTTGTTCTCTGTACCACGTGCCGTGGCTCAAGTATCATGCGTCGTGGTGTGTTGCACAAAAATTTAGCTGATTCTGTTGTCAAATGACAGCAAAATAAGAAAACTTTTGACACGCCCTGATTCTCCATCTGATGTCTAAATGATGTGATTTAGATGTATACAAAAAGCTCTTAACATGAACTAACTAGTAGCATGGGTTTCACTTCTAAAACAAATCACATCAGGAAGTTGGACATTCAAATATATTTTAACCACTTTTCACTATTTTCACATAAAAAAGGTGTTCAAAACCCTCAACAAATGAAAAAATCTTTTCTGACACTTGGACCATGTCCATTAAATTCAAGACTATCAGTACAACACGTTACACACACTTAAACTACAGTATAACTAAAATTCATTCCTCAACCCCTTTTTATCAAAAATAGAAGGGGAGGAAAAATTTTCATTTCATTGTACCCAAATCAATCAAAACATGTTCAAATATCTATTTTTACACTTACATTAGTATTTTGGCCCTATAAACATATATATCTCAACATACACAAATACTCAGGACCTAAAATACAAATCAGACATTTGCAACAACAAAATAGGGTAAGTGGGATGGCATACAACCTAGAATTGACATTCAAATTCTATTACACAAAATAAATCTAAACTAAAGGCATAATGTGTTAATTCCTAGCTTCTTGAGCCTTCTCCCTCTCTGCACCAGAGCTAGAGCTTGAAAAGTATTAAATGAAAGGGGTGAGTCTAGCAACTCAGTAATCAAGATAAAACCCTACCCTATATAATTATATATTAATTATAAAAACAAGCATATGCATATAAAACCAAATACTTAGGACATGTGCACACACATATTATAACTCAGCTGTTCTCATCAATAATATCTTTGTCTCACATATACTAGGTATATTGTTACTATATTTTCAGATATGCGACTATGACCCCTTAGTCACGTGACTTGCCACAACTCAACATGTGTGTCATATATTTATTTAGACAATGATCAACCAACCTTATAACCTCTTTATTTCTTCAAACTGAAACTGTGGGCTATAACACTGAATAGGGCTCCGTCCGTGTGACTGAACTACCTAAGCTCACCAATCATAAGGTATGACCTGGCCAAAAATTACATGACTCACTCTCAGACTACGGCTTCCCTCATTCTCAAATCACTGGGTTGTCTCATACCCTAGGCTATTCTCCTCATTGAA